TATCTATCTATCTATCTAGAGTGTATTTAAGTGTAAGAGTTATGATTCAAGGTGTTAGAGTGGTTCCAGGAAGGAGCCATGGACCAGGGAATACAGGCAACCTCCAATTTCTGAAAAAGACTAGGAACAAATACTTCTCTGAAGCCTCTACAATGAATGAAACCCTACTGGCACAGTGATTTTCCTGTTCTTCAGAAATGTGTTACAAATCAAATTGTTATAATCATCCCCATTCTTGTTTTCTTATGGACATATACTTTTGTTTCCATTTGGGTAATACTTAGAAATGGACTGTCTGGATCACATATTAAATGAAAAAAAAAATCAAGGCTCTAGGATCTTTCCAAAATGGTGGTGGTTAAGTGGAAGCTGCACTGACATCCTCCCAGGATCAAATAAGAATTACAGCTAAAATAAAGAAAAACCATCCTGAAAAATTAACTGAAGACTAGCTGAAATCTTTATAACCAAGGATGTAAAGCAGAGACCATATAGAGAGTAGCAGGAAGTGAAAAGACACAAGAGGACTGGCTGGTCTCTCCAACATAGCAACTGAAGACCTGGAAGGATACTTCAGCTGTGGGGAGTTCCCACTGAGAACTCTGGGATCTAAACCCTAGGATGTGCTTCCCAGCCCAGAGAACAAGAATCAAGAAACATACCCACATAACATCTGGTGAAAAGCAATGAGGTTGCTGTCTGCCATGGAGAGATGGCTGGAAATGCAGGCACCCTCTTAAAAGGCCAATGCACAAAATGTTATATACTGTCACTCACCTTGTTCTGCAGAAGAGGAAGGACAGAGTGTACCAGAGCAGTGTAAGGAGAATACAGGGTAGGGGGGATGGGCTGAGGTCAGAGCTCAGAAAGCAGCCATCCCAGTTTCCTGTGCCAAGTCATTCCATCATACTAAAGAAGACATATTTCCAGGCAGAACTTTATCATCCAAGCAGCTTTTGCCTGGAGGGAAAGTAATTGGCCCACCCTATTGGAAAACGTCTAGCCCCACTCTTTTTCTTTTTTAATATATTTTATTGATTTTTCACAGAGAGGAAGAGAGAGGGATAGAGAGTTAGATACGTCGATGAGAGAGAATCATCGACCAGCTGCCTCTTGCACACCCCTTATTGGGTATGTGCCCACAACAAAGGTACATGCTCTTGACCGGAATCGAACCCAGGACCTTTCAGTTCACAGGCCGACGCTCTATCCACTGAGTCAAACCGGTGCCGGCTAGCCCCACTCTTTGAACTCCACACCATGCTGTAGGCTATAGCCTGAGGATTATTAAGAGACTTAGAACAAACACATGGAAGCTAAATAGCATGTTATTAAACATTGAATAGGTTACCAATGAGATAAAAAAAAAAAGAGGAAAATCTTCCTGGAAACAAATGAAAATGAACACACAACAATTCAAAATCTATGTGGCACACTGACAGCAATCCCAAGAAGGAAGTTCACAGCCTACCTCAAAAAAAACCAAGAAAATTTTGATAATCTATCCAACAACTTAAAGAGTTAGAAAGAGAAAAATAAGAGAAGCCCAGAATATGAAGAAGGAAGGAAATAAAGATCAGAATAAAAATAAATGACAGAGGCTAAAAAAATACAAAAGATCAATAAAATAGGTAATGTGGGGACTAAAATTTTAATTTGCTCTTGCTCCAGGGTTTTTATTGTTGCTGTTTGTTATCGATGTTGTTTTATAGTTTAATTACTTTTATGAATTAATTTTTGTCATGCATGATCACTAATGTCTCTCCTTGGTTATTTTAGTGATCACCTAATTACTGGACATATTTTCTTAAGTGCTTAAACCAATGTATCTCCCCACCTTTGCCAAGGAGCTCTGTATGTGTTTTGAGAGCATCTGCCCTGCTTGCACAGAATATCAATGTTAAACACAAATCAAAGATTAAGACAATTTATTGTCATTCCAGGGATTACACACAGCCCTGAACATTTGTGTGGTCTTCCAGATTCATAGGAGTATATCAAAGCCCCCAGTGACATTTTTATTCCAAGTTTTTTTGTTTGTTTGTTTGTTAGTTTTATGGCATACATTTTTTAACCCCCAACTGATATTGCTACCTCAGGCAATGTTAAACAATTGATGATTGTTTTTTTTGTTTGTTTGTTTGTTTTTTTATGAGAATAGGGATTTTTGCATAGAGTGAGCTCTGATTCAGATCAAATAAAGATAACCTTGAGAATGGAACTTTTCCAGGAGTCTCCAAACAGGTTGAATTGTGACAATTAATTTGTGATAGGGCTTTACGAGCTACAAGCCCATTTTCCCCTTCCTGTGTCTACTGAGCTGGTGGTTTCCACAATTTCAGTCATTTTGAGGCTGCCAGTTTTCAAGGTTACCTCAGAGCTGGAGAGAATAAGAATAGAGAAAGTTGAAATTTTATAATACTTACTATTCTTATTGAAATTCAGCTGCTTCTCTTAATAAACACTCCTTAGATTGTTTGAAACATTTGGTTAGTTTCCATTGTGCTGAAAAAGTTAAAAAGTTTTGCCTGTGTTTAAGTGCTCTTAACGAAAAGCAGATTTTCAGGAGTTTTTACTTTACCATCTTCAGGAAGGGAAACGTTTGTTCCTAAAAATCAGTAAACTACTGTTAGGCTGTTATGTTGTGGTGAAAAGCCATAGTCTTTTAAATTAGAAACACTGTAGATTGACTTGTGTCTCAGTGACTTGCTTGTTTTATGACCGGAAGCAAGTGATTTACCCTCCTTTTATCTCAATTTTCTTTTCTCTTTAAAAAAAAATATTTTATTGATTTTTTTTACAGAGAGGAATGGAGAAGGATAGAGAATTAGGAACATCTATGAGAGAGAAACATCAATCAGCTGTCTCCTGCACACTATTGGGGATGTACCCACAACCAAGATACATGCCCTTGACTGGAATCGAACCTGGGACACTTCAGTGAGCAGGCTGACACTCTATCTACTGAACCAAACCATTTATGGCTGTATGGCAATTTTCTTATTAATTCAGTGAGGATGATAATACCATCCTCATACGATTATTGTGAGAATTAAATAAAAAAAACTTGATATGCAGGCTTAGGCAGAAGTAGGTTTACAGTTTTGAGAACATGAAACCTACTCTGATCTTGAGTTATTGTTTATTTTATTATTTTTCACACGAGCAACTATAACCCTTCTTTTATCACACCCTGTGAAGTTTCTGCTATATAAAAGGTATTTAATGCATATTCCTTTTGTCATTTACCTTTCTACTTAATTACAAATTTAGTGATTTCAATTTCAGTAAGTTTCAATGTTGGAGTTGCCCAGCTTATTTGGTATAAAAAATATGCAATACTGGTGTTAGGATGCTCAGCCAGTGGATAATACTACATTAGCTGTCACCTTTTAGCTACAGACTCATTTGCAAGGTGCCTTTAGGACTTGGTTGCTGCATTACAACTCCATTTTCATTTCTGCCTCCCAGCAATTGGTAGGCTTTCCTAACAGTAACACTATATTGTTGACTTATATTCAGCCTCTATTTATCACCATGCCCCATAGATCTTTTTTTTTTAGACCCACTCACATATAGCCAGTTATTTCTCTTATTTATTATTTATTTATTGTTAGATTTATATATTGTTTTTCTCCCTAAAAGCTTAAGTTTACTGTGCAGAGAACTTAAAACATGGCTCATCGAACATTACACATCTAAAATAAAATTGAAAATGGGGAAGTGGGTAGGCTAATATCCTGTTTTCCTGAAAATAAGACAGTGTCTTATATTAATTTTTGCTCCCAAAGTTGCGCTAGGTCTTATTTTCAGGGGCTGTCTTATTTTTCCATGAAGAAGAATATGGTACACATTTATTGTTAAATGAAAATAAAGGAAATTTATTACCTGTATATGGTATGGTAGTACGGTAGTTGTCAACACAAACCAGACAAACTGTGAATCCTATAGTATCAAGAATTTACTCATTTATCCAATGACAATCATGTCATCAGCTTCTGGAACATCATCATAACAATCCAATTCCTGAATTTCCTGGTGAATTTCTTGTGACTCCATTTCTTTCAGAATCAGTGGACCAAATCTCTCATGGTTAGCGTAGGGGGGCCTTATTTTCGGGGGATGCCTTATATTTCACTCAGAAGGAAACCTGTAAGTAGGTCTTATTTTCAGAGGATGTCTTATTTTCGGGGAAACATGGTAGGAATGGAAAATCTGAGGGATACTGGATGATGGGGAGAAACAGAAAAAGGATGCGCTGTGCAGTTCACTTTTCTTCTTTTAGTATGCCACTCTGCAAACTTTTCCCTGGTGTGTTTGGTGTCTTCTGTTTGTTTTTTGTTCTTGGTTTTGTTTTTTTTTGTTTGTGTGTGTGTGTGTGTGTGTTTTGTGTGTGTGTGTGTGTGTGTGTGTGTGTGTGTGTGTGTGTGTGTGTGTGTGTTTTGTTGTTGTTTTTAAGTTTCAGGTTTCTAATTCAATCTCAAGATTCCTGAGGTCATTTGTAGCTTAAAAATAGGTTTATTTGACCTGCATAAGTTTGGGTAAACAGAAAGCACAACACAATCTGTTTTCTCTTCTATTGCCCAAGTCATAAACTTAAATGCTAACTAACATTAGAATCAGAATAATTTCTTTCTTGACAGGAGGATAAGCCAATGAAGTGTGAACTATTGGTAGGAACACTGTGTATTGCATGTACAGTATTGTTGTATTCCATGTTTAATGATGACAGACAGTGTAAAAGAAAAAAGGGTACTTCATAGGCTATAAGTCACTAAATGCATTACACTGACATAAGATATAGTGAATTACAAATATTACTGGGCATAAAGTTGTAAGAAAGAATGACAATAGTGCCTTTACTTGCTATACATCAAATTCTGGCATCCCACAATGTACACTTTCAGTTTGCAAGCCTAAATCAAATGAATTTGGTGTGTAGAGTACAGCTCTGGTGTTATGAAACTTTTGAGGTTACACATGAACGGATATTGGCCTACTACCTCTGACATTGTTTTGCTGAGAAATCAATATTTGAGATTGTGTACAATATGTTCTTTGTTTAATATGAGTGCTTTCTACATATGTACACACACACACACACACACACACACACACACACACACACACTTTCCCTTTAGTGCATTACAGTGTGGTTTATGTGATCAGAGTTCATTATTCATTTTTAAAATTTTCATTACCATTAATATTTATCTAAGAGGGGTTAAATCAACTCAGAAAATTAACTGGCTCATTAGCAGACAACTAGTAAAAGCATCTAGAATTAATTTTCCTGTCTTCTGTTACCATGAATGAAAGTTGACTTTTTTTTTATATATAATTTTTTATAATTCTCAATGGGTTGGGGGCTCCAGGGTTTTGCCAATTATTTCATTAAACTGCTATGGGTGATATTTAAAAAAAAACATTTTATTTAAAAGAAAAGTGTCAAGACACTGTTCAGAATAGACAAACAAAGTTTGTTTTCAAAAACTAAACAGTTTTTTTACAAGGCTATAACAAAAGCTCTAGATAAGAATCTTTATCTGGATAGTCTTGGATCCAGTCCTATTTCTGTTTTCCCTCTGTTGTATCCCAGGGCACTATTATTGCTCTCTGTAACATTCTATTCCTTCAGAAAAAATCATTGGGTCTCAGAATTCTGTTAGGGTCCCAAAGGACATCCTTCTCTGAAATAATCATGATAGATGTAATTGTATTCCAAAGACTTGGCTGTTTTCCTGAATTTTGGTTTTGATTCTTCTTTTAACCATGTCTTGTGCAATACTTTAACATTATTGTGCAGTACTTTTATATTTAATACAGTAATCTTATTAAATATTTGGTAAAACCAAAATAGTTTATTCCTTTCCTCAAATATCATGCAACCAAATAACTTCATTTTGGAGACATATAAGATACTCAATACAGGGTAAATAAGGAATGCTTTAATATTTGTGATGGGCAACTGTTTTCACTAATGAATTCATGTTACCATGAATTCATTAGTGAAAACAGTGGCCTTAGTTCTAAGTAAAAAACAAAGCTGGTGACTTCTTTAAGTTTCATTAGTAAACTAAAAGTAAACAATAAACCAATATTACAAATAATTCTAGAAAATCTTTTCACCTAACACTTTTTGCCAGTTTAAAGAACTTTTATCCTCCCCTCTCTCTCTTTCTTTAGTTCTCATTGATTTGAAAGTAACTATCTCCTCAGAATGATTGTTTTCCTATTTTTTTAAAATATATTTTATTGATTTTTTTACAGAGAGGAAGAGAGAGGGATAGAGAGTCAGAAACATCGATGAGAGAGAATCATCTATCAGCCACCTCCTGCACACCCGCCACTGGGGATGTGCCAGCAACCAAGGTACATGCCCTTGACCGGAATGGAACCTGGGACCCCTCAGTCCGCAGGTCGACGCTCTATCCACTGAGCCAAACCGGTCTCGGCTGTTTTCCTATTTTTGATAACTTTTTCTTGCTCTCGTTAATTTTATTGTCATCTAGTCTAATTATGTTCAGGTGCAAGATGTCAGAGTCTGCTGTAACAAGCCAGGTTGGTGGGCTGAAAGGAAGTTTGATGTAACATTCAAAGCTAAGGTTACCATAACCTGGATTTTTTTTTCTGATTATTTTCCCATGTTCTGGAGGCAGGTAATGTAATGCCTAGGTATTTCGCTAAGTGATTTATAAAGATCAATCTGAGTTTTGAATGAAGTTCTAACAGACTGACCTTCTAGGCTTTGGAGATAGGAGTACTCTATTTATCCTTGCTTTCTCCAAAAGCAGGTTAACAGCCTTTGTCACAGAACTTCTATTTGAGTGAACCAAGCAGGTAATAATGGGAAAGCATCCCGGTTTACTAAAAGACAATATAATCACAGCTGATACATCTTTGTCCCATAGGCCTATTTTTTAAACAATAATTATATTCCTATCTTTCTATCAATATGTTCACAACTATTCTGGCCTCTGGGTTTTAGAATAAAATTCTAATAATTGTCACAAAGTATAAAAGGACATCTGGATAAGCCTTTCCTAATTCCTGCTAAAATGTTAATTGAAAAAGTTAACTAAAATGATTTCAAGAAAATTTTGAAAACTAATTGCTACAACTAAAGTGAAATTCTAATAACTTAAGGACAATGAAGCTGCAATCTGAAAGTTCCTGAACCAGCAATCTTCGGAGGTCTTAGGAAGGCAGGAAGATATTTTTCTCCACTTTTATTATCTGATACAGTGATTGAGCATTTGTACCAACCAGACAACTGGATAGTTGACCTGCTGTCTTCAGTTATGGGGATATAAAGTACAGCCAAAGAAATATAGTTAATAACATTGTAATAACTATGTATGGGGTGGGGAGACTACTTTGTAAAGTATGATTGTCTCACTACTATATTGTTCACCTGAAACTAGTACAATATAACATTAAATGTAAACTGTAAATAAAAATAAAATTTTTAAGTAAATAAATTGATTTCTAAAAATTTATAAATGTTTACTATAACAATCAAATAATGTAGTGTAAATAAAACAGCCCCAACAACCCCAAATCTTTTTTAAAAAGATATTTTTATTCATTTCAGAGAGGAAGGGAGACGGAGAGATAGAAACATCAATGACTAGAGAGAATCACCAGTCGGCTGCCTCCTGCACACCCCACACTGGGGACAGAGCCCACAATCTGGGCATGTGCCCTGACCAGGAATCAAACTGTGACCTCCTGGTTCATAGGCCGATGCTCAACCACTGAGCCACGCTGCCTGGGCAACAATCCCAAATCTTAACTCGATATAATCACTAGCATTTAGTGAATGCATTTCTAGAAATCTATGCAAATATATGCATAGATATTAATATAAAATTTATTTAAATGACATTATGCACATTATGCTGTATATATATATATATATATATATAATAAAATTACTTTGATTACTAAATAGCATTTTATAAACCATATTGGTTAGCTATTGACTCCCATCATCTTCTGTTCCTCATCCCCTCTTGTCCTCCTCTTATATAAAAGAATTGTCATTTTTCTCTTTTTCTCCTTAACTCCATGACTTCTTCCTTCCTCTCTCCCTCCCTGTTTTTCTACCTCCCTCCCTCCTTCCCTTCCTTCCTCCTTCCCTCCCTTCCTCCTTCCCTCCCTTCCTCCTTCCCTCCCTTCCTCCCTTCCTCCCTCCCTCCCTTCCTTCCTTCCTTCCTTCCTTCCTTCCTTCCTTCCTTCCTTCCTTCCTTCCTTCCTTCCTTCCTTCCTTCCTTCCTTCCTTCCCTCCTTCCTGAGCCACTATTACCATAGTCAACATTGACTCAATTCATTACTTACACCAAATGAGGAATACTATACTGGAAAATATTGAATTTTTATATGAAATAATGCAGTACCCTATAGAAGTGGGAAAGTTCAATTTCTTTGTCAGTAAAAAATAATTTTATTTTAACTATCATTAGATACTATGTTTTGCTAATGGAAGGACATTATAGCTTCCAGATAGGGAAGATAATTCAGTCAACATTCTGTTGTTTGAATTTACTTGTAAATAATTTTTAGTTAAACATTTTAATATATTTCTATTGTATTAGTAAAGAATAAAATATAACAAGGATATGAATGAATAGTGCTAAGCTTAAAATCCTACTTCAATTCCTTAATTTAGAGAAAATAATTTTCCTTTGTTAATTTTAGCTTAATGAATTAAATTGGGGGTGATTATAAACACAGAGACCTGGTAGGTATTGCATGTGAGTATAGTGAACCTAGTCTTGAGGAAACAATAGAGAGTGTTGGATACTGCAGAGAGCCCAAATACATGTGTCTACCAAAGACAGTCACTATTTCTCTGCTCCATTAATTGCTAAGTTACAATTTGAATTCATTGTTGCTAGATTTTCTGATATTCAATAAGCTAAAAATGCAGATACTCCTGTGAACTCTTTTGAGTTGTGAAAGTTGGCAAACAAATATCAGATAAAATGTGTGGGTGGGGGGAGGCAGTGTCTGTGGGATTTTTGCTGCCTAAATGCTTTAATTTGTGACTTCTGATATAGTGAACATGATATTATTTTTATACTAAAGGCCCAGATTCATGCACCAGTGGGATCCCTAGGTGTGGCCTGAACCTTCTCACAATCCAAGACCCCTTGGGGGATGATGGAGAGCCAATTTCAGTCCAATACCCATTGGCCAGGTCAATGGTCCCCACTGGTGCACGAATCAGAGAACAGGGCCTCTAGTTTGCATATAAGATCTTTGGTTAATCTCTTCCCACTCTCCCCACCCTTTCATTCCCTCTTAGATTGATCAGTGTGTTCCATGTTTCCATGTCTGTGCATTGAGTGTCTGCCCTGGTGGTCAGTGTACATCATAGTGAATGGTCAAACAGTTGAATGGTTGGATGGTCAGATGGTCATTTAGGCTTTTATATAGATAGATAGCTTTTTTTATTTACCCATGTGCAATTATTTTTAATATGCAAGTGTCATTTATTGAATGCCCTAGTATTATGGGAGGGTATAGAGAAAAAAGATACCGAATGAGAATAAAAACTATGGATACTATGTGAATTATATGCAAACAAATTATGAGAATTAGGTGACATTAATTCCATTTTACAGACAAAAAACTGAAGTTTGCAAGCTTTAAGTAATTTACAAATATCACACAGCTAGGAAATAGTAGAGCTGGAATATAAATCCAGGTGTATATGAGTTAAAAGCCAGTTATTTTTTTTATTTTGTACTAGAGGCCCAATGCATGAATTCCTGCACAGGTGAGGTCCTTGGCCTGGGCAATCAGGGCCAATTGGGGCAGCGAGAGGTTGGCTGAGGGGAGGGGCTTCTGGAGATTCCAATAAGGGTCATCTGGGCCAGGCAGCCAGGGGGAAGGGACTGTGGGGGGTTGGCTGGCTGGGGGAGGGGCTGCTGAAGGTTGAATAGCTGGAGGGAAGGGTTGCAGGAGGTTGTCTGCCCTGATTTGGGTCATCAGGCTGGCCAGCTGGGGGGCAGGGGCCGTGGGAGGTGGCTGGGGGAAGGGGCTATGAGAGGTTGGCTGTGAGAGCACACTGACCACCAGGAGGAAGCTCCTGCATTGAGCATCTGCCCTCTGGTGGTCAGTGTGCATCATAGCGACGAGTTGAACAGTCATTTGGTTGTTCAGTTGTTTAGTTGCTTAGGCTTAATGTATATAGATTGCTTTTTGGTGTGCAGCATAGTGGTTAGATAGCAATATACTTTACATAGTGTTTCCCTTTATATTTTCAGTATCCCATTTGGAACCTAACATAGTTATAAAATTATTGGTATATTTCCTATGCTTTACTGTGTGACTATTTTGTACCTATCAATTTGTATTTATTGTCCCTTCACTTCTTTCACCCAGTGTCCTACTCCCTGCCACTCCCCCCCACTCCCCCTGCAACACAACCCTTTCCTCTAGGAATATCCATATCTCTCT